GGTGGGACTCTGCCCCGGTCCAGCACATGTGAGCTGGCTGACCCACTGCACGCTGGAGGACACTGGGTCTCCATCCACCATCCCCTGCTCTGCGGGGGGACAGTGGTCCCCAAAGTGGGGTTCCCAGCCCCTAGAAGCCCCACAGATTTTGTTTCCACATGGAGATGCAAAGTGCAACGTTCCAGCTTTTCTCAGGGAGGGGAAATTCCTCCAGCACGTGTCAGAAATATTAACAGCATCTTGTTTCCTGCAATCTGATACAGCACCCACAGGAGACAAGGCTTGAGGTCCTTCCGACCCCTGCTCCTGTGCACAGGACTCCTCCCGAGCCTCCATCTCCTGCTCCCTCCATGTAGATCACACGCTTGTGGGAAACCTGTGACTCTGCCTTCCGTGTCTGGTGATTAAATCCTTCTCCAAAGCGACAGACTGCATTAAAGCTTGGGTTTGCTCCAAGGGTCGTGGAAGGTACCTGTAGAATTTACAGACCAAATCAGTCATTTAATTTCTCTCCGCAGCCTCTGACCTATTAACATAATAACAGAAACCAGAAGAACTTTGTTTTTCCGTGGCATACGGTTATGAATCACGTTGTCACTGCGCCTGCAGCGCTGCCCTTAATGAATACATTCAGGCATGCCCACGAGTCCCTGCGCACGTTCCCATACGCACTCCGTTGTCGTATAGCATTAATTAACCTTGTTTAATGGGCTTGCAGTGATGGCTTGCAGCTCCGCATCCCCAGCAGGATGACTCTTGCCATAAGCAGCAGGGATGCAGCAGGAGAGATGGCCAGATGTTTGTCTGAGGGGATGTGTCTAGGAATGCGTCTCCGCACTGGGAGAGCCTCGACAGCCAGTTCTACCAGGAGATCTGGGCAAGCTGGAGCCATGGGCTGAGGCCAACTGGAGGAGTTTCGCTAAGGGCAAATGCCGGGTGGTGCACTTGGGCCACAACAACCCCCAGGAGCACTACAGGCTTGGGGAGGGGTGGCTGGAGAGCTGCCAGTCAGAGAGGGACTGGGGGGGTTGAGAATGAGCCAGCAGTGTGCCCAGGGGGCCAAGAAGGCCAATGGCATCCTGGCTTGTGTCAGCACTGGCGTGGCCAGCAGGGACAGGGAAGGCATCTGAGCCCTGGGCTCAGCACTGGTGAGGCCACCCCTCGATTCCTGGGTTCAGTTTTGGGCCGCTCACCCCAAAAAGGCCATTGAATGACTCGAGCGTGGCCAGAGAAGGGC